TAAATAAGGAGAAAGTATACAGCCTTGAATCATCCCTTTGCCAACCTGGAACAGGTTGTTTCACCATTTTCTGTCTATGCTGTAGCTTTCTGACCTATGTATAGTTTTCATATGAGGACAATGACATGCTCTGGGATTCCCATTTTTCTAAGCACATTCCACAATTTACATGATTGACACAATTGAAGGCCTTTCTATAATCAATGAATCACAATAATGACTTCTTTTTGGTATTCTTTGGCTTTCTGAATTATCCATTGTGCATTAATAATAATGTCTCGTGTTCCTCAGCCTTTTCTAAAGCCAGCTGGAACATCTGATATCTCCCTTTCCATGTAGGGCTCTAATCTGTGTTGGGTGATCCTAAGCATTATTTTGCTAGTGTGTTAAATTAAGGATATTGTAAAATAGTTTGCACATTCAGTTATGTCTCCTTTCTTTGGTATTGGTATTGGTATGGAGATTGACCTCTTCCAGTCTGCTGGCCACTTCATTGTTTGCCAAATTTGCTGGTGTAGTTTAGTTAAAACCTTTACTGACTCTTCTTCTTGTTGCTTGCCATCTTTCTATAGATATTCCATGAATTCCTGTAGCCTTCTGACTTGGTAAAGCATAGATAAAACACTGATCTGACTTTATCTTCTAGTATTAGAGGTATTTGTAAGTAGAGAACATCTTCTAAGTATCATGGATATTGACACCTATGGAATTTCAGTATATTCCTTTCATCTTTCTTTGATCTTCTTGGAGATCTGTCCATTGGCATCCTTTAGCAAAGCAATATGAGGCTGAAACCTCCTGAGTTCAGAGATATTTTGGAAGACCTTCCTTCTTTTTCCATGTATGTTTCCCTCTTCAGTGTCTTTACAGAGGTTGTTGTAATACTGCTTCTTGTCTTTTGTAACAGCTTTCTGAAATTCTTTATTAAGTTCCTTCCTGAGATCTTGGCTTTGGCTTCACTGCTGCCCAATATAGATGACTGTTTGCTTTAGCTGGGCAGCTGGGATGACCTTCACACCTTGGATGACCCTGCTGGGAGCATATACTTTTGGCATATACTCCGGGCATTCTTCACTCATCCCATCCAGGAACACATACACACCCTGCCATGATGAGGCAGCACAGCAGGATTTGGGGAGATATGTTCCAATAAGAATGTGTATAGTAAGTATACAATAAATAGGGGTATGTAAAATAAAGGAGAGAGAGAGAGGATTCAGTGCTCCATTTTCCAGGATTAGTTACAACATTTTGAAGCTGACCTGTACAGGGAAGAAAATATATGAGTCTTTTGCTAGGAAGGGAAATTTAAATCCTCTTCCTTTTTCTTCTCCTCCATACTCATGGACATCTTCTGCCTTCTCACAAGTTGGGTAAAATATGCCCACTAATCTTAAGGAATCTTTCCCATGTATCAACCACATTCTTAAGTGGGACTCAGCACAAAAGTTTTCAAATGTTTGGGGTTGTTTTTGGTATGCACAAAAAAGTTGCCATTTCTGATTCCTTTCCTGTACTTTTAAAATTGTGCCCATTAATTATTTCTTTCATTATTTCAGCCAAACTTGCAAGGGCAGGGTGGGGGGAGTTACGAGGTTTGTTTTGCCCAAGGCCACCCAGTTGTTAATAGCTGAGGTGGGATTGGAACCAGCGTTGTGCAGGTGCAGCTACACTGTTTTGCTTATAGAGTACTGTGCATGGGATTGCAAGGAAGCCACGCCCCATTATCTCATTGGCCATTGGACAACATGGGAATAAGAAGCTATGTATAGACAATATATCTGGAAGAGACTACACTCTGTGTGTGAGAGAGAGAGACAGAATGCTATGTTTCAAGGGACAAAGTAGATTTGGGAATGTATGGTAGATTGAATTTCATGGGACAGGATACATGAGAGGTCAACTGTGTCCAGAGCAACGTTGCCTCTAAGCCAGGGAAGCAGATGTACAACTCATGATGTATTCTCAGCAGCCGTCGGGTTGACCTGGATAACCCCAGACTGTGGGGGGCAGCAACCCTGGGCTGGAGGGGGCAGCTAAGTGCATAATATACTTTACATGTATAAGCTCCCCAAGTTGTAAAACAAAAAACAAAAAACAAGGTTACATATTTTGATTCAACTGAAAATCTAATCATTGCATAAAATATACATCTCAAAAAATATTAAAAAGTAAGTTAAACAGGAATAACTAATTTTAATACAATGTTTTAATCCATTTCATCCCTGATTCATTATAGTGAAGCTTAAAACTTTTAAAAATCAAGACTACTGATCTACTGCAGGGCTGGCTTCAACATGGCTCCTGGGCACAAAGCCTCCCTGCCCCGTTCCTTTGCTTCCCCTTTTCTTTCCCACTGCTGCTCAATCCCTCTTTGGGCCTGGAAGCTGGCAAAAGCTCTGCAGACTTCCACCTAGCTTCTGTGTGAGACGCCTCTTCTCCCCCCATCCTCCTGCCTCTCTCTCTCTCTCTCTCTCTCTCTTTTCTCTGCTTACCCATTTGTAAAAATATACTTCGCGAGTGTGTCATCTTTGACAGTGAGCGGGAGACTGAGTCCCACATGCGGGTGCACAACAGCCTCTGCATGGGTGCAGTTTAGAGGGAACATTGGTACAAGGATAAAAGCAAGTCAGGCTGCTTTGTAAAACAAGTCCGCATTGGAATTATGAGGTCATAAAGGAATTTACAGGCCTGGGCAATGATAGAGATGGAGAACTAGGCATGAAGGAGACAGGTGTCCTGGGAAGGAGGAGGTCTGTTGTGATTTCTTCTGAGCATTATAAAGGCTTCAGACCTGAATGCTCCTTGACAAAGGAAGTCTGCAGGGGCTGGCTGTTTCAGAAGGGCAGATTCTATAGCTTCAGAGGAATCTTCTTGGTTGTCACCATCTCTTTGCTTAACCTGTGGTGATGGGTTCCAGAAACACCAGCCTGGGCATACACAGAGCCCTTCAGATTTGACTTGGCTACTTCACAGCATCCAGAAAGGGACTTTCCTAGCTAGTGCCTAAGTTCCCATCTCCTCCCCAGCTGTGGGGTGTGGCCTTGGCCCCGCTGTGTAACCACATCCCCATACTCATCACTGAGGCATCCCAGTGGGATTAGCCAGGGAGCGTGGGTTGGCTTAAAGTGAGAACTTCCTGCTTCTTGGTTGGATGCTTCATCAGGCACTCGCCCACGTCAAATACCTAGGGATAATGACTAAAAATCTAGGCCCATTGCCCATAGATAGCATACTGCTCTATTAGCAGGCCATGTAAGATCCCTTGCATAGTCACAGGGTTACTGTTTTTCCCCCCTTTTTTAGCAGGTTCACATATTTTTAACAGTGTTGTGACAAATAGAAATTTGTGGGTACCAGCATGTAAAGGGCACTGACTGTCTGCTTCTTGTGCTGATGCTTAAGTCATAGAAACCCTACCAAACTTAGGGCATACCCATTCACACTTAATGCATATTTTGGTATCTGTGGGTCTGGCCAGTCTTTACCTCCTGTGGTACATTAGAGGTGGAGAAAACAGAAGAATCAGGGAAGGATTTCCCTCCAGGGGTTGCTATATTGCACAAGGCGGATATAATAATGATTAATTGTTACTGGAGACCCAGATGACATCTCTAGATTATGGATATTTCTTAGTTCATGTTTGTTCTGACAATCACAAACTGGGGGGAAAAAAAACTTACATAAGCAGTCTACTTGCATGAGTAATGTAATACAGGAATATATGAAATCACATGCTTTCTTCCATGAACTGCATTTTCTTCCCTGAAGGAACTAGCCAGTCTCACATGAGTTCAATGTTCCCACACTATGTTACTCACAAAAGAACAAACCCCTTGCACAGCAATAGTGTTGCTGTGCAAGTTAACCTCCACTGTCTTTTCAGAACTAATTGTCAGGTGTCTCATTAATATATCAAAAGGATAGCTGCATTGCGGAAGTGGGGTTAGGATACATGTAAGTAATTGCAACAAGAGTTCATGGAGCTACAAAATCAGGCAAGGGCTACTTGCCAAGAAACTTGGAAGACTCTTTGTCTTTAAACTAAGTGAAAAGTTTCATAATCAGAGGTTCAGTGGTTCAGAATATTGAAGGACGGGATCCCCCCCCCAATCCATTTTTCTGATGTATGTATGCAATGTAGAGTTTCTATATCGTAGCTTCATAGTTCTTGCATTTAGGTTTCTGAATATATCTTGTGGAGAACTTGATTCCCCCAGTTCATTTTCCCATGGTTAATTTTTTTCATACTGAGACCATTCTGGAATGGCAGTGGAAGAACTCAGTAGGCTTGTGCATGGGTTGTTCTCATTAGCTTGCCCTCCAGGACTTATGCATTCGTGTTGAAACTCCTGGTGTTGAGTTGAAATGTGAGTGCTGACAAGGTTGCAGGCATGTATTCCAAAGGGTTCTTTGCTCCTACCCGCATTTTAGTCTCAGTGACTTACATATGTACTATCACTTGTTTCCTGATAAGCTTATGTATGTACAACTATTTGTAGAAAATGACACTCCTATCCTTTGCTTTCATGGATGTGGCATACTTGGAAGACTTAGCCAGCCTGAGACTGAGAGAGGTCTTCTGTGGGCACTCTCATTAATGCCAACTTCTTCCCCAAGCCAACAGCAACCAGATAATATGTGCCCATCAGAGCTGCCAGATTGAGTGGCAAACTGTTTATGCTTCTAGACACTGTGTGAGGGCATGTAGGAGGGCCATACATCTGCTGAATGTGTTCTTTTCCCTCCTGTAAACCCAGTGCCTAAAACAAACAGAATTTTTGATCGATTGAAATCAGCTAGGGTTTTAAGCAAAAGTATCAATGATGCTATTATATATTTTTGCTTAGAGATGAATGTTCATTTATTTTATGTGCAAAATAATGCAGAAGTAGGATTTTTAAAATCTTAATTAAATGTGCATAATTATGGGGAGGTTGCTGAGCATCATGCTGTCCATTTATATGCTGACACTGTCTTTCCTTCTTTTGTGCATCCAGCAGGAAGTGGGTTGATGGGAAACTCACCTGCCTCATCCTTTATGGGCAGCTTCCTGAGCAGCAGTTTGGGCTCAGCAGCACCCCCGCATCCTACAGGTCCGGCGTCATCCCCATCTGAACCTGCCTTCCATGGCCCCCACTCCGGCACCTCTCAAATTTGGTTCTCCCATTCACATGAAGGTAAAGAGGGTTGGTGGAGGCACTTGTGTGAGGTGGTACAATTTCTAAATAAGGATAGTCTTAGACAGAAGTATCCTTTATAAAAGACAGATGGGTAGACATGTGGAATGTAAAAGTGCAAGATCTCAAGATGCCTGAGCCTTTGCAGATACTGTCTGACCATCTTCACAGTCACTGGCACTGGCTCAGTCTAAAAAATGTTAAGTGAACTGAAATTGTCAATATTCTGTAATATGTAGAATAATAGAAGACATAGCCCTGAACTGCAATGGCAGAGGAGATCTCATTAACCTGCCCTATGAGCGTAGTTTCCCATTGTTCTACAGTTTTCTTAGGAAAGAGGACTGTGTAGAGAGAAGAATTCAGGTGTAAGAAGTCTCAGTTGCTTGGCATTCTGGCTATTGTTAGATAGCAAGAAGAAAATCCAGTGGGATGAGGGAAGGCTGTGGATTGAAGTAGAAATAAAAATGACTTGACAAATGCTCACCCTGAGGCATTTTGATATGGTGGATGGGTAGGAGACCCTCTGATTTTTGGAGTCCCTTTTTCCATCACCATCCCCTGACCACATACACATGAAACAGCTCCATTTAACTTCACACAGCCTAGAGTTAGAGCTGTTTTTCTGATTTATGCTGGTAGCACATTGGAGAGGGAGCGGGTAGGTTGGTAAGTATAAGGGGATCCAGGGAATTACCTGCAGTTTCTCTTTACCATTGAGGTACTTTTTTTCCTTTTCTGTTTTAGCTTCGGGAACCCTGAAAATATTTCAAAAAGCTCTCTCTTCTCTCTCCTTGTTTCTTAGAGGACCGCTGGGCCAAGTGTTTGGACTTGGAGAATGAATGTGCAGCAGGTCTGGCCTGTGCAGTAGATAGATGGATGCCCCGTCCCCATCCCCACTCGGTTGCTAGGCCTCACTTCCCTCTTGGAACTTCCTGTTGTTCTGGGCTTGACCTCCCTTTCCACAGCTCAGCCAGCGTTCCTCGGGCTGTCCCCAAATGCAGTTATTCTGCCACATCCCTCTCTGCCTATCAGTGGAACTTAAAGCTCTCTCTGTGTGCTTCAGCCATGCCCCTCAGCCCCAGGAGAGCCTGCCTCCCCACCCTTAGCCTTTGGACTCCCAAGTCGCTGCTCTTCCTGATCTCTCCAACCCAACCCCAGCACCCCCCTTCCCACTGTGCTGCGCTGGTGGCTATACAACTATTTTTAGTTTTCTTAATGCACTTGTGCGTTCTCTTTCCTGCAGCGGCGGCCTCTTCTTGTGCCCTTCCCCCAGCGTTTTTCCCTCCTTGCAAGATGCAGAAAGTTAAAATGTGAGCGGCAAGGTGCTGCTGGCACCGTGCCCTGGCAACCAGCCCGACTGCTAGCTTGAACGGCTGCCAGCTAGCTTCCGGCATGTCGGGTCTGCTGGGGGCGGGGTGCAGGCAATGCTGTCAGCATGATGCTGACGGGCAGCCGGTCTAGTGGGGGTGGGGCAGCAGAGCTGCAAGCAGTGGGGAGCGGCCCGCTGGTTGGGGAGATTAGTCCGGCAGGCACAGGGAAGGCTGCCTTCATCCTGCTGTGAAGGAGCCACAGAAAAAGAGGAGTCAACAGGACAGTTAGGGAGGAACTCGGAGAAGGAAGGACTTGGCCTGATGCTTCTGTCCTCGTGGCCGTTGCTTGGCCTCTAGCCTGGGAAGCTCTGAGTCACAAGTGGAGGCGGGGGGAGGAGCTGTTCCTCTGGATTCAACTACAGTAATATATCTGAGGGGATGAGGATCTTGCTCACTCTCTGACTGCTCCTCTGGCAGTGCACATGTTTTGTGTTGGGGGTATATGTGCATCTACGTGCATATGCAAGCACGCACACGTGGACACATTCAGTGTAGAACTTAGGTTTGTTTTCTGTGTTCAGGCTTTATGCTCTTAGGAAGACGAGGTTATGTGTTTTTAGATGTTGAACTATTTTTAAAAACATAACCTCGTCTTCCTAAGAGTATACCATACTGGAAAGTGATACCATTTTCCAGTCTTTCTCAATAATGCACATATAGTATTCTCCAAATGAATGAAACAAATACAGCTTTGTTGGGGAATTTAATATTGTTAATAATATTATTATTATTTGTATTGTTTCTAGTTTAATTTTACTAACATCAATCAACCTCTTTTTTTGTTTTTTAAGCCAGTCCTATCATTCGGTATCTTTTTAAAATGTTCAGCAAGAGGTAATTTCAATTTTTGAACTGATGTAACAGCAACCCTTTCCCTATCTTTTTGGTTGTAGGGGTTCTGGTTGTTGTTGTTTGCTTGTTCCCTTTTTAAAATACACCTTGCTGTGCTGATCTTTACAATATCAGGCGAATCACTAGTTCCCCTCCTTTTGCAAAATGGGGAATGAAACTGACTTGCAACTTTTGCTGAAGTATTGATCTGAACTTGCTCAAGAAGTCTGTGGAATGGCTGAGCATTGGTCTCAGCTCCTTCATTCTTTACACACAACACATGTAAAGCTGGGATGGGGCTTCAAGACTGCAGTTGCAGCTGCCATCTTGACATTTTTGAACACCCCCCCACCCCTGTGGATAGCCCTGATCAAAAGCTCATTTTTGAGACCACAATTTCAGTCATGCGTATCTTAGCATTCTTGACTTTTCCTTGTTTTCTTCCAAATAGAAACCTTAGTGGCAGCATTTGACCTAGAACCAGAACAGAACAAGACTGTAGGAAGCCAAGAAGATGGACTCTAGTAAGGATAGTGGTGTCAGTGGCTATATAGATTTCATCTGTTTTTGCTAGAGTGTCAGGCATGGAATCAGGTATGCATCAGATCATATGAGCTAGATTCTTGGCTTTCCACTTAATATTTTAAGCAGAGAGCTACATTTCTAGACTATGTCAGGAACTGAGAGCAGCAGTTGCAGTGGTTAGGTTGTGATCTTCAGTCCTTCTATTACTCCTTGTTCTTTGCTTGTGGTGCTCTTCGCCATCATGTGTATACCCCTCCTAGTAAAGCTGTTCTCACTTCAGCCCTTGCCAAAACATTAAAAGGTTATTTGAGAATGTGAAGTTTTCAAGAAGAGCAAATTGATGCAAATATATGCATGAGCATAATTTTATTTTGTCTGCAGAATTTTAGTCATCTGGGTGCAGAATTTTGATATATTTAGGCACAACAGCCCCAGCCCTGTTAGCCTATGTTATTTTCTCTGTTATGTACCAGACACAATTTTCTACAGAATCCTGGAGCTGATATTCAAGAGCTGCTTCCTCAGTTTTATGAAGAAACCAGAGATCAATATCCATCAAGGGTTTCTTATGATCAGGGAATAGTGTGTTTTGTTCCCTCAGTTGGTAGCTGTTGTTTCCGGTGTCTTCTTTTGCAAGTTGTGCTTTGTGAGATCCTTCTGCCAAACTAGCATCAGAGGAGTTTTCTGCTTCAGTACCAACACTTTTAGCCATGGTCCATCCCATAGCCTGCTGCTGCTTGAAACCTAGCAGTGATTAATATAGCCAAAGTAATAATCTGACAAAGGGCTTTGAATTCACCCCAGCAATCCTCTTTCAACCTATGCATAGAGACAGATCAGACTAAGGCCCAGCTAGTGACTTGGCTTTGTGACTGTTGTGTTGTGACATTGGCCTGTCATTCCTCAATGCCTCTTGTTTTAGCTCCAGGTTACCCGAGGTTCTCTGGGAGCTTAGCATCCACTTTTCTTCCCATGAGCCACTTGGATCACCATGGAAACAACAATGTCCTGTATGGCCAGCATCGTTTCTATGAAAGCCAGAAAGGCAAGTATTGGTTTGACGACATGGTATTTCTGAGTCTGCCTCAAGGGACAGGAGAACCATGGTGTAATTGTTATCTTACCAAGGACACAGATTTAGCAGGCAGCTGCAGAGAGAAAGTAGGGGAAGGGAGGCAAAAGAGCTGATTTCTCTGGGACTAAAGTGTGTCTGATACCAGCTCCAACTCCAAGTCTTCCAGGTGGGCCCCAGACATTCACTAGTTCAGCCACTGCTTTATAAGTGTGCCTCTGCAAACTGAGGAGCTTTTACTCCCAGCATTACTTTGTGCCACAGGGCATGGCCAATTAGAACTGCTGGCGTATTCTTAGGATTGCAGTGTTGCATGTTGTGGTCTATGCCATATTGTTGTCTGGGAGACTTTTCTTAATCACTTCCCTCTTTCTGTAGACAATTTCTACCTGCGGAACCTTCCAGCTCAACCTACACTGCTTTCAACCAATCACAATTTCCCCAGCATTGCCCGGGCAGCACCTGGTCATCCGATTGGCTCCTGCAGCCGGGACCGGGAGGCTGGGCATGGACAGAAGTGCCACAAAGACTATGAGCGTTTTGTGGTGTCAAAGGACAAAGGCGCCAAGGGTGAGAGCAAGGAGCGAGCAGCTGAGGAGGAGGCCAAGGAGCGGCACAAGCTGGTGATGCCTATGACACCGGAAGCAAACTGCAAGGAAGGGGTTCCCCAACGGGGCTCTTGTGACAACCGGCCCAAACACCTGCCCTCCTGCTTGCTGAGCTCCAAGGTACTGAATGGTGACGCAGGCAAAGCTGTCCTCCCCAGCTGTGGTGGAGGCCTTCTACCACGCCATGCTGGTGCCCAGAGCCGTTGTGCCAAGGAACTTGGCCACCATGAGCCGCCTCAGTCTTACAGTGAGTGCCTGGAGCGAAGACAAATGTTGCACCACTCGGTCTCCTACACTGTCCCATCCAGTTTGCCTGCTGGGCCCCCTGCCCTGAGCACGACAACGGGCAGCTTCCCCTGCCTGCAGCTTCATTCCAGCCCAGATGGGATGTGTCCTCTGCAGGACAAGGCCAGCCGGGAGTTACGGATCAGTGGGGCCACTTTTGTGCCTTCGGTAGGCCATCTGACTGACAAGAGCCGCTCCTTCCAGGTGCCCTCTGAGCCCTGTGAGGGCAAAGAACGCCCCCACGAGGTGGGCCCAGAGCACCCCCCCACCTATGGAAACCATCCTTTCTCTCACCTCAAAGCAGAAGGCAAAGTGGAGCGGAGGCTGGACTGGCCACAGAATCCCAGCACCCGCCTGAAAGGGCTGGAGTATCTGAATAGCACTGGTTCCGACAGCCATTTTGGCAGCTTGCCCCACCAACCTAAGAGTGGACATTTTGAGATGATACCACCTCAAGACTGTGCCCGACCCAACTCCCAAGAGACACTGTGTAAACTCAGCCAGTCCTGCTGCACTTTAGACAAGGCCCCTAAGGAGCCGCCAGTTCCCAGCACCCAGAAAGTGGCTCGCATCCGCCACCAGCAGCACTTGCAGACAGAGATGGAGCAGGCAGGCACTCATGCAGAATCCAAGCGCAAATCAATGGAGCTCAGCTCTCTGGGCTACAGTGGGCCCCACTTGCCACCATGGCCAGTTCAGGGCCAGGGCCCTCCTTTGCCTATGGCAGAGGAGAGAAAAGGCTCTTACCTGGACCCTTTTAGCAGCAGCCTCCAGCAGGCTGCGCTCATGACCCAGGGTTCTGTGCTCACGCAGGAAATGCAGACACCCCCTGATGAAGTGTCAGCCATGAAAAACTTGCTCAAATACAGCAACCAAGCACTTATTGTGGGCCAGAAGGCTCCTTTTGTGGGGCTGGGCAGCCTCAAGGGCAGCTGTGCTCATCAGGATGGGGGCAAACTCCTGGGGACTAAGGGACAGCAGGACCTGGAACGTTCAGACTGTGCCCGCAGCAGAGACCATGACCTTGGCCATGGAGATGGTGAGGTGCGTCAGCCTCCAGTGGGCATTGCTGTGGCTGTGGCTCGTCAAAAGGATACATTAAGTCGGCCAGAGCCAGCCTATGGATCTAGCTCCAGTCGGCAGGGCCGGACTGCCATGGGTCTCAAAGGTAAACATTAGAGGATGAAGCAATAGGCAGTTGATGTTTTACAAACCATGTCATTTGGGGGGGGGCAACCACATAAACTCTGCTTCCTTGCATAATCCTACCACTGCTCTCTACTATGAGAGACACAAGCATTGGCATAGGTGTGCCTTTTCCTGTTTCCCCCTGAACATAAGTACTGTAAGTGCTCTGTGGTATGTATGTTTGAAGAGGGATCCTCTCTTCTTTCTTGTATGTTAGGGAGGAGGAAACCAGGTCTGTCAGGGGTGAGACTAGCTGTGCAGCACCTTGGCCTCTTTGATGCAAGAAGCCCCTTTCATGCTGGACATATGAAAGGGGCTTCAATCTGAAGCCAATTATTAACTATATTCCAGTTCCTTCCCACTCATTCATGGCCGCCTATTCTGGAAATTAAATCTCCAGCATGTGAATTTAGCCAAAGACTTTGGCTGGGGAGGGAAGTTATGTCCTGGCCCCTATCTTCATTCTTGTGCAGATCCCATCTAGCTGCAGAATGGGTGTGAAAGGGACATGCTGTGACCTGTTTTCTAGTGCATCTTCTTCCTCTGGGCTTTGTCGTCAGCTCTGTTTGATAGACCAGACCAGGAAGACTAATGCTACCTTTATTGAGAGAGGCTATAGTAACAGAATCTTGCAAGAATTGTTGTGCTGTATCTCCCCCTCCCTCTCTCCCTTCTTATACCACAGTGAATCAGGGAGGCGCCTTCCTGAGCCACTTCCAAATATTATTTTGCTTCCTAGAGCTTAAAAAATGTTTTAGTCCCTTTGCCTTGATCATGGTTCTTGCATATTTCTGTCAAGGTCATTATCTTTACTCTCTATACTTGTTGATGTCACCAGGAGCATGGGATACCCCCCACTCCCATCCCTGAACATTTTGCCAGAAGTTGCTATTAATCTTTACTCTCCCATTCTATTTTTCACAGCTGGTACAGCAAGGCCTGTGCACGTCATCGATCTAGATGCTGAGGAGGAACGGAACCGGCTGTGTGAGGAGCGTTTGGGGCTTGCGGGGAGAGACCTCCTGCTTCAGTAAGGGCCTTCTCAGCCCAACTACAGGAGATGGGAAGGGGTGTTAAACACTGTCTTGGTAGTGGTTGGTAATAATTTGTAATTAGACTGGGCATGCCAGTTGAGGGCACTTAGCAAAGCTTACTTGCATCCCAGAAGAAAAGCTGTCACTGGCATCCTCAATTAGCATTAAAATTATCTAATGATAGAGCTTTCCTTATGAGAACCAGGGTTTGTTTGTTTTTTTGTTATTCTGGAATCCAGTCATTTCCTAACTGGAAAGCTTAAGATAATAAGATAATTCTACAGTACTGTATGATGGTCTATACTGTAATTCTTTGGCCAGGTCAAGGGATCTCTTTGTCCCAGCTGACCTGCATTTCATTTATCTGTGCTTCTAATTTGTCAGGGATAACAAAGATCTTGTGGAGTTTGCCCGAATTCATCCATCAAGCAGTTGTCCTGGAGACCTTACCCCTCACCTGATGATTGCAGGCAGTTCCTCATTGCAGACCAGCCAGCTGGGAGGAGATCCAGCAGCCCACACCCATCCTGCTCATACACATTGGTTGCCCCGGACACGCAGCCCTTCACTTTGGATGGGTGGACATTCATATGGTCAGTCAAGTAAATGTGTACTTTACAGCCTGTATCCAAAACTGGAATTTTATCTAAGCTGTGGCTGCATGGGCTTGCTCTTTTTGTTGCTGACCTATCCTGGAAGGCCTTCACTCCTGATCTACCACTTGTAACCCAGATCTCCCACGGATTTCAGTCCAGTTTAGTTCTTCCTGGTACCTCTTCTTTTTTTCCAAAAACATGTCTTGTTGTATCCCATCCCTTACATTTTCCACCCCCTTCTATTACCGCTTTCTGCAGAGATGAATAATCTTTAGATGGCCAAGAACAGAGATAACATTTTGTAGTGGGCAGAGTGCACGGACAGAGCAAATGATACACATGGGAAAGAATGGAATTTTCCAGTATTTCCCAATTTTATGAGAGTGGGAGGTATTGTTGCTTTTAGAGTTATACCTATTTTAGACCTTACATTAGGTTTCCATGTGTCTTGTGATGAGAAAATCCATGCCACCGATTTTGGCCAATCACACATCCAAAATTTATTGGTGTGGTTGGTATGGAGCATTGGAACCACAAAGAAGAAGCTCTGAGGCTGCCATTTTCCTATGCTTTGCTTGAATGGGTGATAATAAGAGATCTCAACTGACCTTAATTTCTAAATATAGCTACTATTGGGGTCAAGGGCAACTTTGCTACTCAGACCAACTAATACTCTGGGCTGTTTCACCTATATGGTCTATATGGAAATTAATCTGCAGTAATGTATAGATCATAATATATCCAATCCCATGAATGTGCAGCAAGAACCTGCATAGACATAAATGATTTCCTGTATAAAATTGTATAACGTATACAGAGAAACTCCAGAATGAGCCCTCTGGATTCTTGTATTCATCTCTATCCAGTGATTTAACCTGGTGTGGTGAAGTGGTTAAAATGTTAAACTAGGACTGGGGAGATTCTGATTCTGGTTCACTCTCAGCTTTGGAAGCTTACTGGGTGTCTTACAGCCTGTCATTTCTTCACTACACAACCTGCCCCACAGGGTGGATGTTGTGGAGGAAAATAGGAGAAAGGATTGCTGTATATGCCATCTTCAGGGGCATAATGAAAGGCAGAGAGAGAGAGAGACAGACAGACAGACAGACACTTTCCTGCCAGGATCTCAGCTGACTGCAGGGGAGAGACAGGTGGAGGTAGCAACACTCTTCTTGATTTCTAACATACACACACCCCACCAATTTATTTGCTTGATACCTTGGCTTTCTATTCTGTTGAGTACTCAAAGCAATTAACACCCTTGTAAAAAGAAACACAAGAATATAAAAAGTTAAAAATACAAATTAAAACTAACTCCAAAATTGATGCTAAAAATCTATCAACGATAGGTTATCTATGTTGTTCCATGTGATGAATCCACACTCAGCTTATGAGAAGTTAGATGAGAAACATGAACAAGCAAAAACTTGTCCCTGTAAAACTATCCTTTCCCTGGAGAATATGGGGTTGCTGTGCACATGGGTGGAGTACATTGGGCTTTGTCTCATCTCAACAAAAATGTTTTCTTTCCTAACACATTCCAGGCATCGGGCATCCTGCTCTGCATCAAAACCTGCCACCTGGTTTCCCAGCTTCTATGCCCAGTGCCATGCAACCCGTCTTCCCTCTATCACAGGAGCCACCTGCCCAGCTAGTTATCCTGCCCTCTGAGCCTCCAGCCCATGGAGCCCCCCACACACTGGGTAAGTGGAAGCCAGAAGGAATTAGCGGTGGCATATTCCCTGGGTTGCGGGCAAAGGACCTTCTCTTGTAAGAAGCAGCAGCAGGGGCTCTTGGCTTTGTTTACTCCTCTGATTAACTCTCCTGTCTCTCTAGCTGAGGTGATGGATCAGGCATCTATCTGGTCATCGATGTATCCTAGCCGGGGGCCTGGTTCTCACCTGCAGCACACAGGACAACTCCCTGTCTACTCCCGCTCTCAGTTCCTGCGTCAACAAGAACTCTATGCCTTGCAGCAGCAGCAACAGCAGCAGCGTGCAGCACAGGCATTGGAAGTGCAGCGGCACACTCACAGCCAGGTAGGCATGTGAAAAGATGGCATTACTGAAGTCACCTCTTGGTAACCTCTCTTACCGGCAACTTGGAAAAACAGCAAAGAGCCCCAACCTTTATGAGCATCTGGATAATCAGAGCATAGCAATTAGACCAATGATCTTCCTTAAGGTATCCAAACCCTGGCTTTTTCCCAGGACATTGGGCTAGGAAGTTGAGAGAGCCCATTTCTGGGGGGTTGTGGATGTCGATATATTTGTGCTGCCCCAGCTGTAATGCATTTTGGATTTTATTGACATTTGTATTGCTGATTTTAATTTGTTGTTTGCTGCCCAGAGCTATTTGTCAACCAAGTGGCCATATAAATTGAATTAAAATAATAAATAAGCAAACTGTGATCTAATCTTGTTCTTTCCAAGATAGTCCAGACCACCATACAACTCCTTTAATATAGATTGTTCCATGCGGTCCAGATCACAGGATGGCGCAGGCACACATAGATTTATCGAAGGAAGGTAATTGTTTAAGATAGTTTAGCCATTTACAAAACACCTATATGTGCAAGACAAGATGAATACATAGAGAACTTATCTTCCAGTCAATCGGACATGATGAGAAACCCCATCTAAGCTTCAAACTGTAGTGCTTGGCCAGATCCTGAAAGAGAAAGTTATCTCCTGAGTTCATCTCAGAGGAAATGATGTTGGCTAGAGATCTACACTAGTCAGCATCCTGCTTCTACTCATGAGGTGGTGATGATGGAAACCAATATCATATGTGGAGGAAGAACTTGCTTCCTAATTCCAAAGTCTCACTTTTAAGACCTTGTGCTGAGACTTAAAACAAAATAATGTATGCTGTGTTGTGTTGATCCTTTGATGCAATTATACTGTATGTTTGGTTCATCCAGTTTCCAAAAAGATATTCTTGAAAAATTATGGGATATGTCTAAAGAGGTCATGAATGTTAGAGAGCTGGTTAGTTAAAATTGCCAGGTTCAGGGAACTGGATTTCTGCTCTCCATGTAGGTCTTCATCTTCATATTGAGTAGCAGCAATTTAAAAATTTTGGAGGAGAAAATGATCCCTATTTATTGAATTTGCGTAAGTTTTTTGTTGCAAAACTTGAATGCTTTTAAGGCAGACTTCTGCTTACTTGCCATATAAGCCCAGACCCAGTCCCTGCATGCACAGTCCAAGACAGTAGAGTAGAAAGCATAAGCTAGCCTTCATCCCAAATGTATCTGACTCCCTGTGGAGCTCATTGAAATTGTCCTTCCTGTTTTTGCTCTGGAGGGATACAATCTCCAAAAGACCTCTGAGTCAGCCTAAGCATAGGATTGCACGTTGGCTATGATACCAAACGTGGTGTTGTGTAAGGCATATCGAGAAAAGAGAGTGAAAGGGTACACTGACATAGTCAGGGACCATGAGTCAGTCCCTTAGGTTATAGGTTGTTGGGACCACACGGAAGTCTAAGACCTGCATACTAATAGCACGATTATTGAGTTTATTGCTGTCTGTGACATTTATGGAGGATTGATGCACTTATTGACCATCCATCTCTTCCTCTTCCCTCACCTACTTACAGCGGAAGCCTGAAGAGCCTCTGCCTGAGCTGGACTTGCCAAGTCCTGAAAAGCCACTCAAACCATCTCACAAAGCAGTTGCCTTAAACGCACCCCCAAAGGGCCTGTCCCCGGCAGCTGCCTGCTCAGTCAAGCTCTCTTCATGCTGCCACCCACCCAAATGCCCTGGACCCTGCACTTTACCTGTCTGCCCTGCTGTGGTGCCACGCTCCCCTGCTGTAAGTCCAGTGCCCTCACAGAACTCTACGGGTCCTGAAGCTGAGGACAAGCAGCCTGAAGGGCGGCCAGCCCAGGACTATCCAAAATCACTGGAACCAGGTAGAGATTCATTCAGGGCAGGCTGAGACCTGGGATGAGAAATGGCCCTGTTTTGTTGGTTGTGCTGTCTATTAGATTATTTTAGTCTGGGCTGTCTGTTTGATTTAATGTTTTTAGCTGTTT